CCTAAACCCTCAACTTGAGCAGGCGTGGAGGCGGAGGGTCGCTTCCTGGACCGGGCTTCCACGCAGCCTTCTGTGACATAGTGCGCGGGCTTCGGGTTCAGGGCTTAGGCGTTTAGGGTGCGCCAAAACAGGGGCTTATAGAGCTTTTAAGCTTAGGGTTAAAGGGTCTAGGGTGTAGAAGTGAAAAATGCCCGGGATGCAAACATGGTCCACCAGGATCTCACCGTGGATCCCGACTCGAAGTGGCGGGTGAAGCCCCTGCTGGCGGAGGCGCGCCAACGGAAGGACCTGGGAGGGGCCTTTTGGGAGAGCAAGCGCTGTTGAGGGCTTCGGGTTTCCCCAAACCGCCCCAAGCCATGGTTTAGGGTTTAGGGTTTAGGGTTTCGGGTTTCGGGTTTAGGGTTTAGGGTTTAGGGTTGCCCTAAACCATCCCCAAGGCCAAAACCCTAAGCCTGTGCTCCCAAGCTGGGATTGCGCCCAACAGCACTTGAACGTGAGTTGTGATGCGAAAGCTCGGATAGGCACCCATGAGAGGTTCCCGAAGTCAGCTGGTCTTTGTGGTGGTACCTGTAGGATGCCCAAAATGGGGACCCCAAAATGTGGAGCCCTCAGCCCTCAGCCTTAAGCAGCAACGGCTTTCAGGCTGCTAGGCGGGTGGGAAAAAAGACAACCCCTCCCTAAACCCTAAAAACCTAAAACCTAAAACCCTAAACCCTAAACCCTAACCCTAGCGCCGGCAGCCCCATCAGCTAACGACGCAGACCTTCGCCCGAAGGGGACCTCCTACTGGTCCGAACCCTTTCCGTGGTGCGCTCACAGAAGCGTGTCCACTCCCGGAGACCTCGACTTAACCCTGCGGAGCGGGTGCTTGTGTGCGCGCAGTGCGGGTGGCGAAACCCTAAACCCTAAACCCTAAACCCTAAACCCTAAACCCTAAACCCTAAACCCTAAACCCTAAACCCTAAACCCTAAACCCTAAACCCTAAACCCTAAAAAAATCCAGATCCCCCAAGAAATTGCGCAGAGCAGAATCCCGAAGCCTTGAGGCCAACTGGGACCCATGGCCCACATCCTCTGAGTGGGCCGTTGCGGAGCTCCAGCTCTTCGAGACTTGGGTTTAGGGTTTGGGGTTTAGGGGGTTTAGGGTTTAGGGTTTAGGGTTTAGGGTTTAGGGGGTTTAAGAGCTCCAGCTCTTCGAGACTCTGCTAAAGGATGTCGAGTGGCGTGTTTGGGGGTTTACCAAGAAGAAACTGGGGGCTTCTCCGCCCCCAGCATTCAATATTCCCCTGTCTTTACGTGAGTACACGGACGTGGGAGGGCTTTGCGTCAGCCCTCAAAAGTCTGAGCCCTGAGCCTGAAAGTGTTGCGAGTTTAGGGACCTGAGTCTTAGGGTTTAGGAGGGTTTAGGGTTTAGGGTTTAGGGTTTAGGGAACATAGAAGTCTTTACAGGGCAGCAACCAAGCAGTCCGCGCTCTCCGAAACTTTCGCTGTCGTAGGTGTGCAGCCCGAAAATAGATTCGAGTCCCAAGGGTTTAGGGTTTAGGGTTTAGGGCGGCCAAAACTTCTTGTTCTGTTACAGCCCTGAACTGGGTAGGGTTTAGCAAAATTTAGGGTCAGAGTTGCAACAGGGTTTGTTCGAAGTTTGTGCGTGCGTTTGTGGTTCCCCGGGATGAACAGTTCAGCTAGACGGGAGCAAACAAAAACACCCCGAAGCCTGAGGACAACGTGGAGTGCCGCGAGCCGGCACTCTCTGCGCGCTTCAGTGGCTCCGGGTTTGTCGGAGCTGCCTTGGGCCCCGGAAGTGGCCTCAAGTTCTTCCTTTTTCGGTTTGGGGTTTGGTAGGGTTTAGGGTTTAGGGCCTAGGGTATCCGGTTCAGGGTTCAGATTTTAGAAGCCCTAAACCTTAAACCCGCAACCCTGAAACCCTGAACCCCCAAACCCCCAAACCCCCAAAACCCTCAAACCCTCAACCCTCAACCCTAAACCCTAAACCCCAAACCCTAAACCCTAAACCCTAAGCCCTAAGCCCTGAGCCCTAAACCTTAAACCCTAAGCCCTCGACCCTAAAACCCCGAAGCCTCGCGCAGGAGACGGCGTGACGGCCTCCGATGCGACCTACAGTCCAAGCCTGGCTCAGGACGAGCCGTGGGAGCTCCAGGGGGTTTAGGGTTTAGGGTTTAGGGTTTAGAGTTTAGGGTTTAGGGGGTTTAGGGCCGTCGGGGTTTAGGGCTCCCATGAGGGTTGAACGAGGGAAGATTCAGCGACAAGTTCTGTTTTTGGGCCAGGTTCGGGGCATTCTGGGCCCGCAGGAAAACCCGAAAGAACAACAAACATGAAAATGTTCTGCTTTGTGGGGGGCGGGGGGGACGGGCACACATTCCTGCACGTGACAGCGTCGGACATGGTACTTGGGGTCTTATCTGTGGGCAAAATAAAGGAGCAGCTCCGCCCAGTGAAATCGGAGGTTTTTCTTGGGAGCTTTGCTTCCTGCAGTTGAACCAGGACGGGGACCTTGCGACGGCGTGGGCTGCGCCCTGCCCCTCAGGTGCCCCCGGGGGCCTTGGGGATCAAGCTTAGTGAGTTGGGGGTCGCAAGGGG